AACTTGATTTTTTGCAATTTTGCGTCGTGTGCTGTTGTCAAAATTTTACCTCCTGTAAAGCTAGCTTTTCATGTGTACGCACCCTTTCGTATTATGGCCAAAATTTTATTCTCGAACCAAAGAAATCTTCTTTCTTTTTTACAAATGTGAAGCTCACATAGCCCACTTCATCATGCTTATACCAATTTTAGTACAGTTTTAATTTTATATTTTTTTTACATATCATTATACAGGGGTTAGCCATTTAACAAAAATATCACCCATGGCCACAACCCTCTACTGTACTCTGCTACCTTAGGTGAAATAGCTAATTATACATAAATTTGTATGCATAGCACGTTATGAAAATGTTATATCGACCGTGCTATGTTTGACAGGTTTGCCTTGGGTTAGATTCCATCCCACCTCATTTCAACCGTGCAAAAATCAGTTTTATTAAACTGTTACATAGCTTTTTCTTACCCTGTACAGGTGTATCCGCATTTTACCGGTGTGATATTTCCTTGTCTCACCCTAGGGTTGGGACGGGGGGATTCCCCTATTCCTAACAATGGCATGACGTCACTTTAATAATACAATGACGTCACGTCAACAATCCATCAACGTCACGTCAACCCCGAATTTAGCATTTAACGTTATCATTACATTGTGCATATGATACACAATGAAAGAACAGGGTAAGAGAAAAAGAATCATTCACCCCCTTGTGGGTGAGATAGTGGAATCTCAACCCTCGGGGAAAGATTCTTTAGTTGTCAAACACTCGGCAAAGCCTCGTGTTTGGCAACTTAAGAATCCTCCCCCTTGGGTTGATATTCTCCTATCTCACCCCCAAGGGGGTGAAAGATTCTATTAGTCAACCCTTCTCTCATTTAATATACAATGTAATGTATGATGTATTTTATTCATGCTGTAGGCCTACTGTATTAATTAATTTCAATATTAATTTGCAGGCATTAAAATCAAGTACAAGGGAAAAGCCAAAGTGGAGTGGAAAGAGGGAAGCGGAGAAGAGGAAAGGGAATATGATGCAAAGGAAAAATATTTTGAACATGAGCAGTGGATCAGTATGTGAACAGTGAATTACTATACAGTTTATATTTCAGCATCGAGCTACCTCCTTTCATTTAGAATAAACATTGATGGATTTATAATCATTTATAAATAGGTCACAGCCTATATTGTGTCGGCCATGGCCCAGTCTTACCTTTTTTTGTATATTAGTCATACAAAGAGAGTTACAACAGAATTTTAAATTGTTATTTGTTCCAACTATTTTGGAGCCATTTATCCTCATATTTGTTTATACTAGAAGTGACTTTTTGTTGAATCCTACAATAAAGGGTCTTCTTGTCATGATTAAAAGAATTGCATTTTTTTCAAACTTTTTAAAATGCCTATGCATTTAAAAAATAAATGGATATATATTTCAGGTTCCTTCGATCAATTTTTTTCTTTCAGCTTGCATTGTTATTAGAATCTTTGTGCATTAGAATATCTACATCTACAAAATCAGAACCATACTGTGACAACAAACATACTTTACAACAGTTAGATTTTTCCAGTTCCATCTTTTTTTTCTAATGTATCAAAAGACTGAAAATGAATAAAATCCAAACTGGCATATCATTTGGTTCATTAATTATGACACCATTGTAAGCGTCAGTCGCTTCTTGAGGCGCTTCTTAATTCTGTCCACTTCACTTCCGGTTGCATTAGGAGGTATTGAAGAAGACTTGTTTCTCAATAACTAGTGAAAATTATTTACAGGTGCAGTGGGTGATAACAAGGGTAGTATAATAATTTCATATAAGATAAGGGTATTCAGTTATAAAAAAAGGACTGACAGGCCTGTATAGACCTGTCAATGATACCTGGACTTAGAAGTATAGATATTTAAAAGGTTTCATGAGTTAAAAAAAAAGTACTGAATTTGGATTGGACATTTGGGAAGTTGTATGTTAACCCAGCTAATTAGTAGAAGCTTGGTTCAAACTTCATGGGGTGATTTATCCAGTGTTTGTTTAACCTGGTCTTAAAAGAAAACAGAGATGGGGCATTAACCACTTGATCAGAGAGACCATTCCAATCATTTACAATTCTAAATTTGAACGAATGGGCACGCAGATTACTTCTACACTTCAGTTTTTCAAGTTTCTGGTTGTGACCTCTGGTTGTTCTTGTTGCATTGATTTTTAGAAAGTCATCTTTGATGTTATCTATCCCATTTATCATCATATACTGCTTCGAAAAATAATGAATTGAATACCAAGACAGACAGAAAAAAAAGTAAATGTACCATGTATTGGACTCACTTTTTGCAGCATTACATAGTAGGGTGTGATGAGAGTGTTTTCTTTATTTAACTTAGTTTTTACTCATCAAGCAGTCCACTTACAATACATATGTGACTGTTTTAAATAAGTAGTGGATATGATAGTGTATAGATATTATCAGAGTTATAAACAAATCCATGAAATAGATTATTTACATTTAATGGCTTAGTGCTCACTGCTTCTACAACGGGATAAAATTAAGAAGATAATGAAAATATTAAAAAGAAATAACTGTGATACATTTTCTTATTGCAGTCAGTGGAGGCCACATTCTGCAGCCTGGAACCACAAACTACCCTGTCAGCTTTATCCTACCACCAAACCTGCCATCCTCATTTGAGAGTTACTATGGTTACATAAGGTATAATGTCAAGGCAAAAGTGGACCGGGAAGGTAAAGACTACAAAGTCCAGTACCCATTTACAGTGCTGAGTCATGTGGACCTGAACATGGATCCCAATAACGGGGTATGGTGTAGCTATCTAACTGTTACAAAGATGTATAATAACACAGTCTCGTATTTAACAAACTGCTTGCAATAGGGGTGTGATATAGATGTAGTAATTTGTTTGTCATAGAAAGTTATCATAATGCAAAACAATGCTACCAGATAAATCTATTAAGTGTATCATCTGTTCTAGTAAGCTGAATTACCCATGATACATAACAACTCAATATATATATACAGTATTAGTATGCGTAAACTTTACAATTCCTTGTAACTGTCAGATGTGTGGCTAAGAGTATTTTAGACTTGGCATAAATGATGCATACAACTCCTTTTGTAAATGTACACTCATGACATGGACACACTTTTATGAGAGTAGATATGTAGTGGTGTTTCCTATGCTTCAGATGCCGGCCCAGCTTCAGGAATCAAAGATGATTTGCTGTCTGTGTTGTGCAACAGGTCCCGTCAGTGCAGTGTTCAAAATAGATCGCCGTGGTTATGTTCCAGGGGAGGCAATTATCATAAATGCTGAGATTGTGAACAACTCTGACAGATTAATTACATCTTCTAGGGTCAAACTGATAATGGTAAATATATGGCCAGATTTATAATGGTATATACCCTCAGGGATACTCAGTAATTTTGTGACAATGAGACAATCTAAAGGATGAAATCAAAATGTATTACCACCCTGGTAGTTAAACTTGGGTGATTTTGTTATAATTTGGTGATTTTGTTATTCAGTCGAATCGAATACAATATGTAACACAAATTTGTTAAGATATACGAAATATGGTACAGTATTATAGATTAACTAGCTGCTTCTTCACTGGCATCAAACATGACAAAAATGCCCCATATACATAATTTAAAAATAAATGTCTAATAGATGAAAAACATGTACCAATAATGTTTGAAAAACTACAGGAGCTCAACAGAGTCAGAATGGATTTCTTACCATTTTGGTGTACATTTGTCTATAAAGTTCTTGGTCCTTGTATGATAGTCCAGACTTTGGTGATGAACAATATTGTGCCTGAATAAGCTGGTATTTGTTTGTTTATATTCTCAGAACATCTCATATTTTGCTGATGGCAATACACGCTTTGAAAAACGAGATGTGGCGAGGTTGGAGCATGGTCCCATTGACCCAGAGGGATCAGATACTTGGAATGGGGACAGACTGATCATTCCCCCCATACCTCCGTCCCCGCTGGCCAATTGTAACATTATACAGATGGAGTATGTTATTGAGGTAGGTTCTGCTCTGTGTTGTGGCTGTGATGTAGGTTTATAAACGCATTTATAATCCGTCTCAAAATAGGGGATGTATATCAAAATGGTAATATAAACCAATTCACTGTAATATATTCAAGAAACAAGAGTTGAACTTAATATAGAGTGTCCAAGTGATCTGTACTTAAAACAAAGAAGAGTACCATTAAATTTGTCATGTTTCTATAACACAAATACAGACTTACTAGTATCATATATCCCCCAAAGGGAAAATTAACCAATATTTCAAAAATGTTCTTCTCCAGACACAGAGGTACTACAGTCATTTCCTCTGCATGGAAAGAAAGATCATCAGGGGCTTAACTTAAATTATAAATTTCAGGACCCCTGAGCTATCCGTTCTCCCATTGGGGAGGGGGTAAAGTCTACTATAGTTTATATATGGAAATAACACTTTTGGGTATATTTTGACAATTCTCTGTAGGAAAGTATTCTTACTTGGTGAGAATTATCCTTGGAGGAAGATGGTTTTAAAATGTAAAATTGAAATTCCTACCCCAACCCTTGGGGCCAGGGCGGGGCCCAAAAGGGAAAATTAACCAATATTTCAAAAATCTTCTCCAGACTCAGAGGTACGACATACGTTTTCTCTGCATGGAAAGAAAGATCATCAGGGGCTTTATTTAAATTGTAAATTTCAGGAACCTCAAGCTATCTGTTCTCCCTTGGGGAGGGGGTAAAGTTTACTAGAGTTTATATAGGGAAATAACACTTTTGGGTATATTTTATCTATTTTCTGCAGAAAATTACTTAAACTTAGTCAGAATCATGTTTGGTGAATGAGGGTATTACATTGTAAAATTGGTATTCCTGTCCCATCTCCAGGAACTAGGGCGGGGTCCCAAATGGAACATTTACCAATATTTTAAAATTCTTATCCTTTCATGACATGACAAGTATTGTATTTCACTTAGTTTACATGCTGATTTCCACATCACATCTAAGCAATAGAATAAAGTTACCAGTACCTATGATATAACTCAGGTGACCGCTAAGGCCTTTGGGCCTGTTGTTGTTATTACCAAGAATTTGAAGATGAGATCTGTTATTGTAAATTGGTGTAATACAGACCTTTCTTCTTTTTCAGTTGAAAGCTGATGTAGACAACACCCCATTTGACCTTGAGGTGCCATTGAGTGTCACAATTGGGACAGTGCCCCTCCATACCTACCTGCCCCCTCCTGTACCAATGCCAGAATTACCAGTGGACCCTTCAGGCATCATGATGTATGAGACTGGAGGACAGCCTATCACTGTGCAACCAGGGGCCACTCCTTCTGTTCGTAAGTGCATAACTAATCCATACATCCAGTCAATAGTATATCTAGGTCATATATCTCCTTTGTAAGCACTTCATATTAAACCCCATCACCCCATCCCTAGTTATCCTAGGTCACACCCTCTGTGTGTCATTACTACCAGGTCACACACCCTGACTGTCTGTATTCCTAGGCCACACCCCATGTCTTTCAGTCACACTCCCTGTCAGTAATTCAAGGCCACACAACATGTCATTCAGTACTTCCAAGTCACAACTTCTATCTGTCAAGACTCCAAGGTCACACCCTCTGCCTGTTGACACTCCCATGTCACACCCTCTGTCAGTCACTTCTCACAGGTCACTCCCCCTGTTTGTCAGTATTCCCATGTCACACACCCTGTCAGTCACTGCTCACAGGTCATTCCCACTGTTTGTCAGTACTTCCATGTCACACACCCTGTCAGTCACTGCTCACAGGTCATTCCCACTGTTTGTCAGTACTTCCATGTCACACCCTCTGTCAGTCACTGCTCACAGGTCACTCCCCCTGTTTGTCAGTACTTCCATGTCACACCCTCTGTCAGTCACTGCTCACAGGTCACTCCCCCTGTTTGTCAGTACTCCCATGTCATACCCTCTGTCAGTCACTGCTCACAGGTCACTCCCACTGTTTGTCAGTACTCCCTTGCACACCCTCTGTCAGTCACTGCTCACAGGTCACTCCCCCTGTTTGTCAGTATTCCCATGTCACACACCCTGTCAGTCACTGCTCACAGGTCACTCCTCCTGTCTGTCAGTACTCCCAGGTCACACCTCTTACTGCCAGGTTTTTGAAACAACACCCCTTGGCTGTCACTGCCCTCAGTCCACACCCACTGTCTATTGAATACTCTCAAGCCATGCCTAGTTTTTACTTTTATGACATATTTCCCTATCTGCTAGAGCTTTAGGTATAAGAGGTCATGACAAAAGTCAAAATCAAATTGCAATGGGTGCCATCCATATTGTAATTACTAAGTTATTGAAAATATTACAGGAAACAAGACAATATATCTTCTGTCACATAATTGTCTGTACTCTCAATGGTCAAGGTCACAGAACAGTAATTAACTGTAGTAATGTTCTAACTGGTGTATACTGGTATATATAGTCAGTGAAGTAAATGTGAGAGGATGTAAAACTTAACACCTACAGGTGTAAATACAATGTGGTTTCATTTAATAAAATGTGAAGACCTGATGTCAATTTCTTGTAGACAGATTTTAGACCAAATTATTCATGTTTTCTGGTTATGTTTCAGCCCCTCCATCATATGGTGACAGTGTGTTTGGTAATGTGGACGTCACTAGTGAGAGATCAGGGGATGAACGGCAAATGATGCAATATACCCCCCAGTATGCATACTACAACTAGGAAAACTAACTCTGAAGTGTACATCCCAGTATGAATCTACAAATGGAGAGATTGAATCACCTAGAGTGTATGTCTTCGAAGGATACAACTAGAAAAACTGAATCTCATCCGGTTTACACCCCAGTACCAGGAAAACTAACTCTAGAGTGTGCATCCAAGTATGAAACTTAATCTAGGGAAACTAAATCCCCTAATGTATATACAATGTATATACCCCAGTTTGATATTACAACTAGGGAAGTTAATTCTACAGTGTACACCACAGTATTACATCCAGGGAAACTAAATCTTCACCACTTTTCATCCAGTATTATATATCCTACAACTAGGGAAAGTAAATCTCCTATAGTGTGCATCCAAGTAGGAAAATACATCTTAGAAACAACTTAGGCTCCACCAGTAGACATTCCAGTTTGATACTGAACCAGGGAAACTTCTTCTGCAACAATTTATATCTCAGTATTGTCCTCCAACTAGGGAAACTGAATCTGCTCCAGTTAACACCGTAGGGTGCTAATCAAACCTCATGGGAAACTTAATTACCACAGGTTTATCCCTAGGGTGGTAATCAAACCTCATGGGAAACTGTATCTCCACCAGTTTATAACCTAGCATCACTACTATTGTAGAACTACCTGCTATTATCCTGTCCTGATCATTTGTCCTACTCTTTTTTGATATACTGGCTGTTTGTAGTCAATGTTGACCTGGACTGGCTGTTTGTAGTCAATGATGATGTTGACTGGCTGTTTGTAGTCAATGATGATGTTGACTGGCTATTTGTAGTCAATGATGATGTTGACTGGCTATTTGTAGTCAATGATGATGTTGACTGGCTATTTGTAGTCAATGATGATGTTGACTGGCTATTTGTAGTCAATGATGA